TATATATATATATATATATATATATATATATATATAATTTTCAAAACAGACACAACACAAAGAATCTTCCTTCTTTACATAGTGTAGAAAGTGTATCAGTTGGTTACAAAAGACTTTCGTGCATCTTTTCCATAGTCATCAACCATAATTCATATTAACTCTTTAACTCGGATATATTTATACATATTACCATCATCATATCTCCATTTTCATTTGACTATAATTGTTTAAACATCCTTCATCATAAAATATATCAAGATTTAAAACATAACCACATACTGGCATTTCATTTGCTATTTCTAATATCCTCCAGTAACACTGAATCCTTATGGCCTATTCTAGCTAAACATAAATATAACATGTATGTTGGTGTCTTTCTTTTTGCTTCCAGCCAACTACAATGAGTTTTACCAGTGGTCTGTACAACATTACTCGGATTTCTGGGCAGAGTTTTGGAAATTCAGCGGGATTGCCTTTTCTCGGCTTTATGATGAGGTAAGATGATAGAATAACAGAGTTTGAAGGGTCCTTGGAGGTCTTCCAGTCCAACCCCGTTCTCAGGCAGGACCTATACCCGTGATGGCAAACCTATGGCACATGTGCCAAAGGTGGCATGCAGAGCCCTCTCTGTGGGCACATGTACCATAGCCAGCTACTCTTCTGGTTTCCGGCGCATCGGCCATCTGGTCTTTGCGGGCATCGGAGTGCCGAAAAGCAGCCTGAAAATGATCTGGAAAACAGCCCAAAAACAGGCATGCATTTGCCGGATAGCTGGTCTTTGGATTTCTGGGGCTCTGGCATGTGTGAAGACCAGCCGGGGGCATGCATACACATGCTGGAAACCCGAAGACCGGCTGGCCGGTGATCCGGTGCACACACATGCATGTCGTGTTTGCACACGCGTTTTGGTTTGGCCACTCAGTACCATCGCTGCCCTGTACCATTTCAGAGAAATGATTTTGCAATCTCTTCTTAAAAACCTGCAGTGAGGGAGCACCCACAATTTCTGAAGGCAAGTTCTGTTCCACTGGTTCATTGTTCTCACTGTTAGGAAATTGCTCCTTAATTCCAAGTTGCTTCTCCCCTGGATTAGTGTCCATCCATTGCTTCTTGTCCTGCCTTCGGGTGCTTTGGATAATAGGTTGACTCTCTGTTCTTTGTGGCAACCCCTGAGACACAGCTGTTTTTCGATCGATCGATTATCCAGGTTAATTGAGGACTGAGTCACGCAGAAGATGGTGGGTGTGACTTTCCACCTGATTCTAGGTCTTCTCCAGCTTGGGTGAGCAAAGTGTGACTGCGGGACTCTGTTACCGTCATAAATGTGTGGCAGTGGCCAAGTGCCCGGAATTTTATCATATGACTGTGGGGAATGCTGTGGCAGCCATAAGTGAGAACTAGTCATAAGTTACTCTTTTTACTGCTGTCAGAACTTCAAACGGTCGCTAAACAGTCATAGGGTTTAAGGACTACCTGTAGTTTTCTTAGCAGAAGGCAACCAATGCCTTCTTCCAAAGGACTTTTTTTTTAAAATGTGCCCATCCGGTTGGATTTCCTGGTGGTGCCCCATCCCAGTAATAACCCAGTCTGATCCTGTTTTTTCAAGGGGGTGGGGAATGCATTCATCTAACTGGATTTAATGGAGCCCCCCAGCTGGTGAAGACGGGCAGAGAAAGACCCTCATAATATTGATCCTTTGTGCCCTACATGGCTGCAGCGATTTCTCTTAAGGATGCTGGATGTGTTCCCACCAGGTGATCGATCCCTCCAAGAGCATCGCGGATGTTCCCGAATGGTTTAAAGGCAGCCGCTTAAACTATGCCGAAAACCTCCTGAAGCACGAGGAGAACGATAAAATCGCCCTGTATGCCGCACGTGAGTCCCCCGTGCGAATCTTTGTAATTGCTGGATATACAACTATTCACATCTCTCTTTTTCTTTCTCTCTCTCTCCCTCTTTCTCTGCCTCCCTTCTTTGTCTCTCTTTTTCTCTTTCTCTCTCTGCCTCTCTCTCTCCCCCTTTTCTCCCTCTTTCTCTCCCTCCCTCCCCTCTATCTCTCTTTCTCTCCCCTTCTGCTCTTTCTTTCCCTCCCTTCCTCTCCCTCTTTCTCTCTCTTTCTCTTCCCCCTCTCCCTCTCTCCCTCCCTTTCTCTCTCTCTTTCTCTCTCCCTCTTTCTCTCCCCCTTTCTTCTCGTGAGTCCCCCGTGCGAATCTTTGTAATTGCTGGATATACAACTATTCACATCTCTCTTTTTCTTTCTCTCTTTCTCCCTCTTTCTCTCCCATCCTCCCTCTCTCACTCCCTTTCTCTTTCTTTGCCTCTCTTTCTCTTTTTCTCTCTCCCCCTTTCTCTCTCTCTCTCCATCTTTCTCTCTTTCTCTTTCTCTCTTTCCCTTCCTCCCCCTTCCTCCTCCTCTTTCTCTCTTGCTTCTTCTCTTTCTCCCTCCCTCCTGTCTTTCTCTTTTCTTCCCTCTCTCCCCCCACTCTTTCTCCCTCCCTCTCATTCTCTCTTTGTTTCTCCCTCTCCCGCTCTCTTTTTCTCTCCCTCTCTCTCCCCCTCTTCCTCCTCCTCCCCGCTCTCTCCCTCTCTTTCTCTCTCTCTCTCATTCTCTCTCTTTGTCTCTCCCCCTCTTTCTCCTCCTCTCTCTTCCTGTCTCTTTTTCTCTCTCCCTCCCTCCCCCTCTCTCCCTCTCTCTCTCCCTCGTCATCATTAGCAGTCGTGCGGGAATCATTTTTCGTTATCTTTTAGGAACCCCACTCTAGTTTACAGGGCGTGATTTCCCTGTGGTCTCCCATCCCTGCTTCCTTTTAGAAAAAAATTCTCAAGCATTCCTCCACCCAATCCAAGGGCTCTTTCATTACAGGCTGCAGGAATATTTCCTGTCTGCCAAAAACCTCTCGCTGTTGTATGTGCTGGGGTTGTGTGTGTCTCTTTTTCTTCCTTGGGGGGTGTCCGGATTCCCCCGCCCCCTGCTCTCCCTTGATGGCTGGAGTTGCAGAAGGCAAGGGTATTCTTCCCCACACCATAATCGCCCCAAACTTTCAGGGGCCAAGTCTTTAAGTACTTGCTGCAGATGTACTCTGCTGTTTATGCAACTTGCATTCTGCTCCTTTCCACACCTGGATGTTCTCCAGGTTGCTAAAAACCCCGTTAAGCCCCAGCCAGGCCCACCTCTCTGCCTTGCCTCCCCCAGCCAATTTTTTTTTCAAGTTGTGTTATGTAACGATTTGCACGAGAACAATCGGCAACTTCACCTGTTCTTGCCCTAGTCATAATTTTTGGAACCTGGGAAAGAAAGAAAAAAAAAACCCACTCTGGATTACATTTGAAGGTGTGAAGGTTGGACTCTCCCACAAGGAGCAGCCGGAGGGAAAAACAACCTTGGTTTTAGGATGCCCATGTACAATAGTGGCCAAAATTGTGGAAACCTTTTGGGAAAAGTGTACAGTATTTTTGAGGTTAGATGGCTGATAATAACACCACTTTTATTTGGAGTAGCACCATAAGATTATATATCAATGGAGAGATAATTTAATCAAAAATGTAATGTAATAACATTTTTTTAAAAATAGTTTTTATTAAACATTTTTACCTTTAAAAACAGAAAGAAAAACACAACAACAAAAAAAGAAAAAAAGACAAATATAACAATATAAAGTAGATATTCGTCCTTCTGTATCGGCATTCATGTTTAGCCTTTGTAGTTCTCCATTCTCCATTGCCTTTCTATCGATTTTAACTTCTCTAATAATGTAATAACAGTAGTATTAACACTTGTAATAATTGTTCACATCACCATTATATTTACATTGTAGTTAATACTTTAAGTTTGATAGTAATTAGTAACTTCGGTTAATTTTTATTCAATACTAGTTTAGAAAAAAAACCTCACAAAGACTTCTATTTCTTGTGGATAGTCTCACAAGATTGATCCCTATCGACTCGCCCAAATCTACCCAGTCAGAGTCCAAGCCTGTCCGAATCTGAGCGATTTTATCCTGCAGATACTGAACAAATTCTTCAGCCCTACCCTGGTCATTCCCAGTTCCTTGGTTAAGCAAGGAGCGGGTCACCCTAAACAGGGCAGCTGGGCAGTTATCTGCGGACATGATAAAAGCGGAAAAATGTCATCGCTTTGCTGCTTTTATCGCCACTAAGTATGATTTAATATGAATTCTTACTAGTGTTCGATCGGATTCGGACTGGCTGGCCCTCCAAGCACTCTCTAGGCCCCTTTTTCCCGGCGTTTCATCTCCCGGAGCTCCTCGGTAAACCAGGGAGCTACCCGAGATCGACACCGGGCCAGAGGCCACAAAGGTACAACACGATCCAAGGCCCCAGTGGCCGCCCTATCCCTGGCTTCCACTAGGGCTTCGGTCAAGCTGTGAGCGAGGGATTCAGGAAAAGTCCCAAGCTCCATGAGAAACCTTTCAGGGTCCATCAGGCACCTAGCGCGGAACCATCTAGTCGGTTCTGCCTCCCTGCAGTGAGGGGTAGAAGAAGAAAAGTGAAACACGTAGAAAAAAGAGACATACAAAAATTATCCCCATGTCAGCTAATACTTAGTTGGGTAACCTTTAGCATGAATTGCAGCCTTACAACGTCTTCCCATGGAGTGAACCAAGTTGTTTAGTTCTGCAGCTGTTATAATGTGAAACCAAGATTGAATGATTGCTTCTATTAACTGGGTTTTATCGCTGCTATATTTGGCTATAACCTTTCATAGAAGAGATCATTGAACAAACTTCATTGCATTGCATTCTTGATTAAATGATCTTTCCACTGATATATAATTTTATGGTACTACTCTAAAAAAAAAGAAGTGGTGTATTAGCCATCAAATCTCAAAAAATGCACTTTTCCCAAAAGGTTTCCACAATTTGGGCCACTGCTGTAGAGGATTGTGGTTTTTGTGCATCCAGAACGACCATATTTTTCGGAATATACGACGCACTGGTGTATAAGGCGCACCATGATTTTTTTTTAAAAAAAAGGTTTTGCACTCTGCAGGCCTCCCAAACCCTCTGCATGCCTCGTTGTCTTCAGGGGTTAATATGTTATTTGTTTTGACTTCTTGCTGTCAACCTGCAACTGGACCTGATCTTGTTTCCTCAGGGGAAGGGAAGGAAGAGATCGAAAAAGTGACTTTTGAGGACCTGAGGCATAGGGTGGCTTTCTACGCTGCAGCCATGAGGAAGTTGGGGGTGCAGCCTGGAGACCGAGTTGTGGGTGAGTCCCCCTTCTCCTTCCACTATTCCTTTTTCAATCAGGATGTGCAAATATCAGATCTGACCTTCTTAAAAAGCTCTGCAGAAAGGAACACACTATGTGGCATGGCTGGTAGCAAATTCGGACAGTGAGGAGGTTGGAGAGGAACATGGGTCAGTCCTAGACTCTGGGAGTAAGGCCACAGGTGGAAGAATAATGGCCCCTCCCAGAGGGAATAAAAGAGGAGCGAAAGGGGAATGGAGTTTGCAGGAGACCATTAGTTTGCTTCATTGGTTCGTGAGTCTCCGAGGCTCCTTGCCAAGTTCTGCAGATATCGGCCTGGCAGCTCTCCAAGCCAGAGAAGGTCTGTGACTGTAAATCCTCCTTTGAAAGACTTTGCTGGATGTGAATGAGCAGAATTCACAGTCAATTAATAAAAGGTTTTTTTGTCGGGACCAGGAGTTTGCTTCAGGCTCTTGGGAAGCCTGGGTCAGAACACCCACGGAAGAGGCACTTGGAAAAAAGGTTGGGCGACTTTTAGCCAAATGTTGCCGAGATGAGACAACAGAAAGCAATGGGTCATTAAAATCAAAATTCTTCCAATAAATGGCAGGTTGAAAAACAGGTCTCATTGAACCAAAGAAAGTGTGGGAAACTTTGCTGAACATTCTGGACGGAGAGGGAGGGGGACACACATTTGTAACTTCCCAAAGGGTCTCGGGAATGCATGTTTGGGCTCGAGGTGGAGCTGGGGGTTTTCCGACATCCAGTATGGAAGAAGAAGAGGAAGAAAATTAGAAGAAGAGAATCTTTGTAGATCAGGGTGGAACGGTGAGGTCCTTGGTGCTGTCTGAGAGTGGTGGTTTTCTTGCAGGCATTTCATTACCCAACTAGGTAACATCATCAGTGCTAGAAGGAAGAGGACTGTGGGATCCTTGGTGCCCTCTGAGCATGGTTGTTTTTTTGCAGACATTTCATTACCCAACTAGGTAACATCATCAGTGCCAGAAAGCAGTGTGGTTTACAAAGTACAGCAGAAGGAGAATGGGAGGAGGAGGACCACAACTGTGGGGTCCTTGGTGCTCTCTGAGCTTGGTGGTTTTCCTGCAGGCATTTCATGACCAAACTAGGCAACTAAGCACTGATGATATTACCTAGTTTCGTCATGAAACGTCTGCAAGAAAACCGCCAAGCCCAGAGAGCGCCAAGGACCCCGTAGGAGGAAAACAGCCAGTCATGTTGCTGTCCAGCACACCTTCACCTCTTGCACAAACCACAGGCTTCCGTTTGACCTGTTGTGCCCTCAAAAGTCAAGGTGGGCAGCTGATACCTCAGGGTTGGCCTGCCGTTGTGTCATTGGGTCACTTGCCCCATCGTTGCTTGTGTTCCAATGCAGCCATTGGCACCTCTTGCATCAGGCTGCACTGGGTTTTCCTCTTTGGAAAGGTCTTGAGTAACGGGGGCGGTGAGACTTGGAACTGCCAAAAAGAAAATATGTGGCAACGTAATCCACATTTATGCCTAGTTCTCGTCCTTCATCCATTGGGTTTGTTTGCACATGTTGATTTAGCTGGAACGGTTTCAGTGGGTTTGAGATGCTTCCAAAGTAAGATTAGAAGTGGAGTTAGCATTTCCCACTGAATTTACAGTCATGTGCATTAGAGGCAGTCCTCGCCTTAAAACCACAGTCCTCTAGTGACTATTCGAAGTTGCATCAACATTAAAGAATAGAATAGAATAACAGAGTTGGAAGGGACCTTTTGGTCATCTAGTCCAGCCCC